GCACTTGGGGTTGTGGGCGCTGCCCGAGGGATCCGCTCCCTGCGGTGGCGGGGCTTCCTCTCCCGGCTCAGGGGGTGCGGAGGGTGAGGCAGCGCTGCGGGGTGGTGAGGGCGCGACGCTCTGGTGCCCCGGTTGCGGGAGGGCGGGCGGGAGCGCGTTATCCTGTGCCCGAAGATTATTTGGCGCCACGGCACTGTTCCCTTTCTCTACCTGTTGTGCCCTCTCTGTTGTTTGCCAGTCCAAAGCGCCCCTTGGGCTTGCTACTTGAGTCCAGGGGCCTGGGTCCTCTCCAGAAGGGTCTGTGGCCGGAGTCCGGGGTGTATAAAAACCGTTCAGGACTTGAGATAACCCGTGAAAGGTAAGGTTTATTTAAATGGGACACAGCTTTCCTGTGGCCTGAGCCAAGAATGTGGAATGAATTTCCCAGGAGCTGCGGACAGTTGTAAATCTGTTGTTCAGTGCAAGTCATGTTCTTTGGCACTGGTCTTCTCTGACCTAAGTACGTAACTTCAGTTGTACTCTAACATAAAAAAACTTCAAAGGACCCACAGAGATACTCACGTTCCTTCCTAGGGATCGACCATATAGCAGCAGAAATGGTGCTTTTACCATGAGGTTTGTGTTTGTCACGCAATCTTTACAGTATTAATGGAATTACTTTTTCCTTTTTTTAACCAAATATAAAACCATTTTCTTCTTTTTGGGAATTTAATGTAAAAGTCCCTTTACAGTAGGGCTTCAATAAATCTAGTGTCTTAAAACATTTGCAACTTTATACCAAATTAAGCTAATTTTAATAGAAAAAGCACCCCAGTTACCTCTTTTGTGAAAAAGAATCATTCAAAGGCAGAGCTTTTGTGTTTGATTTTAGAAAATAAGAAATACTTCCATATTTCTAATTCATCTTCCCATTTCAGAGGTCACATTCCTTACGAGTTTGTTACCAAGTGGAATTTATAGCACTGACTTTATAATACTACTCAGGGTCACCTGGTGGTGTGTTTATGCATGGTGTTACCAGTTTAATCTAGCTAATGCACAATTCAGTTTTGAAACTGGGCTTCTTAAATTTTCATAACATTCTTTTTCAAGTTGCTTGCAGACCTTACTAGTCTGTTTTCTTCTTTAGTTTCACTGACTAAACAAAGTGTGGCTGCCTGGAGATTATACCCAGGCAAGCAAAACAAAAAACATCAGATGGTGCCAGAACATTACTAGTACTACCATTTAAAGCTGTAGTTGAACTGAAGCTTTATTATCTCAGATCACTAGTTTGACTCTATTATACCCCAAGAGTTGAAACTATGCAAAGAGCTTGTGCAACAGACCCTCTTGGCTTAACTGTGAAAGGGCTGTCTGTAGGCAGAGCTTTCTCCACGAGAAATTCTCAACAGAAGAGTTTTCTATTTACCTTGGTTTGCCAGAGGCTGAATTTGCTGAACTTTGGCATACCCTGAATACCTTACTAGTTCTTTGTTCTCTTTGACTTTTTTGAGGGGAAACGTGCCAAAGACTTGTCTCCACTAGAAAAAGCATGTATTTTAGCTAGCTTGATTTAGCCAAACATTAAAAACCTTAGAGTAGGTGGAAAAGTTGTGTTAACAGGTGTTAAAGGGGAATTAATCTCAAAGTTTCTTTTAGAAATGTGTATTCTCTTCTAGAAATGTATATTCTCTTTAGGTAATTTGGCAGAGACCAGAAAATCATTGTTCTTCAAAAACACCCACAAATTGAAATAAATACATACAAAATTACAGTCTGTTATCAGCATTCAGGATGCAATATCGTATAGGTTTATGTACTTTATTGACACGATGTGTCTTGTATATATCGGATTTCTCTGTTATATACTGAACATGGTTCATGAGAGCATTGTTGAAGGGATTAGGCTTCATTAGTTAGTTCCTTCTGATAAAGATTCTAGGTGCCCATTCAAATTGTTTTGAAAGATCAGTGCAAGCATTTTAGTTCATTTAAACAAATTAACAAACTGAATTCAGCCACAACTGTGATATAACCTACCTTTATATATTTTGTATTTTATACCGTTATCATCAATGACTTTGAATAAAAAAATTATTTAAAATAGAAGTTAGTAAGTTACTTCCTTAATAGAAGAAGCTTGCTTTAACATGTTCTGTCTGCATCCAATCTGGAACAGTTGAAGAGCTGTTATTTTCTGTAATTACAGACAGTTTTCTTGTGATGTTCTACATATTTTACAAAACGTACATTAGACTAGTATGTCACCCTCTTTAACACAGAGTACTTTCTGTCATCTGAGAACTATGTACTACAGAGATCAACAGAACTACAGATACCGACAGAATCAACTGAACTGAAAGCAGCAGCTGTTACCTTGTGCTGCCTTTGTGTTACACCCTCCTCCATCAGCTGAAAATCTTATCCAGCATCATTCTCTTGCCATGCGGAGGTCTCAATGAAATTATCTTGCTTACCAGTCACATGCACATTTCCTAACCAGCCACAATGTTTAGCCCATAAAGTAGCCTCTGGAGTACTCAGACTGTCCCAGCAGGAATGTGGGGGGAAACCTCACATGTGCCCAGTTCTTCCTGCGTATTCCAGGACATCCCAACTTGCACCTTTTTAAAATTTCTTCAGTGTTGTTCTTCGTTGTCCAGGCTTGTCCAATAAATTACATCTGTGGTTTTCTGGCCATTACAGTTTAAATCTATATGGTTTCTAGCCAAGAGGAATGTATTGCTGATTTAGAGTAAATACCAGTGAAGGGCAAGGGTAGAGGGAAGCAGGAAGATACTGAAAGTCTGATTCTTTGATAGAAAAATGCTTTTCTGGTGTAAACTTTCCTGAAGGTATAGCTGAACTAACTTTAAAGAACCTCAGTGATGAAGTTGTGTGGCTTGTGGGTTTCCTTAAGGGTGACTGGGAGTGTGACTGGCAACAGTGAAAGTAGCTTTAGCTTCTCCCAACAGCTGCAATTGCTTGGGGTTCTGTAGAACATAAGGAAGCCATTTGAGAAAGAGAACAAATGACGTTTTGTTTCCTTTTCCCACTTCAGAAATGGGCTGGTAGTTTCATTTTGAATTTCTTCTCCTATCAGGTCACTGTGTTAACTGCTGACAACATACTCATCATAACAAAGAAATGATGGTTTAGCCTGATGGTGGATGATTCTTCTGCTGCTTGTTGGTAGCAAGTATTGTCTTTTATTTGTACCTTCAGGAAAAAATTTCCTCCACTTGATTTTTTTTTTTTCCTTTTTGTGGGTAACAAATTCACAAATAAGCTATAATCAAGTAGAAGATGAAGCTGCCTGTGTCATCTTCAGTCTTCTGCTACTGTCCTTTAAAGGTATTTTCTAGTCCCCCTATGCATATGCCAAGAACACTAAGAATAGGAACAATGTCAGAGCCTAAACATTTTTAATTTTATTTTTTCAGAATCACATTTGGTTTATGGGGTTATGGAGAGGAAGATAGATGGGAGGGAATCACCTTTACCCTACAAGAAGTCATTCTTAAAAGAGGATGATTAAATCAAGTATGCCAGTAAGTGCCATCGTAAGTAGATTTTCTGAGTAGATTTATTATACTGTCACTGTTTTTAGTACAAATGTTTATGAAAAAAACCCAGCATTACAGCAGAATGAAGACAATAATTGGTTCTCTGTCTTTCTGAGGCAAACAAATAATTTGATCTTGGGCCTTTCTTGCTAATTCCTGTATGATCCCAGCAAATAAAAGCCATTAGCAATAAATTTTCCCAATCCTATCCCTTTCAATCTAGTTTTTCTCTGATCTTAATGAATTGTCATAAATTCCTCTAGGTCAGGGATGTGAAGCTATCTGAGGGCTAAGCAGACCTTTCTGAGTCTTCTAAATGATTCCATATTAACATACACCAGAAGAAATATAATTACCACAGGTTGTATGAAGTTAAAGTCCCTGGGCCTCATAGTCCCTGTTCTCTTACTTCTCATAGCTTATGGCTATGTGTGGACTAGGTTTCACAGGAGAAGGGACTTTTCTGTCTGAACATTATAAAGATCTGCCTTATTATTGTCCATATTCTCATCCTTTCATGGCATGTTTAGAGCTGCACTGGAGAGTATCATGATATTGTAGCCATTTCCCCAAAACACATGGAGTGTGTTCAGCCAGAATATGGTATCATTTAAGAAAGGGCTTAAGAATCTCTCTTGCCTTTAAAATAGAGATGATTCTGGAACTAAGATTCATTTTATCTGTAGTTATTTAATCTTCTCTAGTAGTGCTGTATGTCTGGAGGATGATGCAGCAAGGACCCAGCTGACTCATCTAACTGGCACTGATACTTTACAGAACTAGGAAAAGTTTGTCAGATGTTGCAATATGTTAAAAACAGGGTGTGATGGTATTCAGTTAAGCAATTCAGGTGACTCACTTACTGACCAAATCCTGTTACAAGGCCTACAGAGAAACATGTTTTAAGGGCATTATACATTTGAGGAGCTTATATAGCAATAACATAATTTAAATTTTGTTATGGTTTCACAAAAGGGTAAATTCAGGTCATAGATTTGCAGGACAGTTTGACATAACAACCTTACCTGGGGGTTGCAAGAGATGTAAATTGACATTTTAGGACTCTGTGTTTTTTCAGGAAGTACATTTGTGATCGTGATGAAGGTCTTTGCCATTTAGAAATGCAGGTATCTTCTATACTCCCTTTACATAGAGGAGGGCAGAAAATTTCTCCCACATGCCCCTGTCCCACTGGAGATCTTTCAGTGTCCAGAGATTAAAGCATTAACAGTAATACAAATTTAATAGGCAAAGCACCTTCTAACAAAATTTGTAATGGACATATACTTTAAATCTAGTACAAAAGAATGAAAATATTTGCCTGGCTTTTATACTGAAGAAACAATTATATGAGCTATTTTCCATCTGCACATAGCCTGAGCTCTGGTAATCTGGAAATCACGGTAGATATAGATATGCTGGAATGAATTTTGCAGGGTGAATGATTTGCTGTAATCTTATGATTTGTTGTAAATTTTATAATAAAATAATACTAATTTATTCTTGAGAACAACAAGCCTGATGTCTTTGCTGAGTACAAGAGTTTAGAGTTCACAGCATGCTGAATCACATTTTATGCTCCTAATGCATTGTTTAGATGGGGAACGTCTCATCATTTGATTTAAGCATTTTATCATCCTGTGGGCAGAATTTATTTAAAATTTAATGCAGAAGTCCATGCTATTTTCTCAACTGCAAATAAGTGATTTCTACTTTAGTCTCCACAGAGACTTTGAAAAGATATAGAGGAATGCTGCTTGATTGGAATGTTTACTTCACTGCAGCTGCAGCCCCCTGATACAAAAAGGCAAATAAGCATAATCTCTTTTCCCAAAGCTTTCCCACTGTCACCTCTTTTCATAGTGTTTGGCCTATTAATATGTTTCAAAAAGGGTTACTTGCTCTTTGTTTTGCAAGAATGCAATAGATACATTGCCTTCTCACAAAATTTAGACTATTTACAGTAGTTTGAGTAGCAAATTGAGCAAGAGGAAAGGTAAGAACTGGTTTAATATTTTAAAGAGTATTGTCCCTAATTATAAGGATTACATGCTATGTTTATTTTCACTAATGAATGAAGTTTTTTTCTTTATACTCTAGATTTATTTGTTATTAATAGATACAGCAATATCAAAGCTAATATTTAAAGCTAGTGTATACAGATACACAAGTAGGTTCCAAAATATATGCGTATTATTAGCTGTTACGGACAGCAGCCATGCTGTCTGGTACAAAGCCTTATTAAAATCTGGAGGAAAAAATATGTTTTTCCTTCTCTTTTTGAGAAGAATTACATCCGACTATGGTAATTTTTAAGGTACTAGGTGGGAAATCTAGGAAGATGAAAGGGAGGATAAAAGCAAACTCAAGGAGATGTAAAGGTGAGCAATCAATCATAAAACACAAGAATATAGAATAAGCACTGTCCCATGAGTTCTTCTATTACGCATTTCCACAGCTATAAGTATTAAAACTGAGTTTATGTTGTGTCTGTTTAGAATCAGTTTCCAGCTCCTTCTGCATGTCATTCTGGGAATTAAGGCCAAATCATTTTACTTTAGACCTAGAATCACTCCCAGTGATTTGTACATAGGAGGAGCCCTGTGTACAGCATAATCCTTCATCCAATACTGCCCTGATTTTGGGATGCCAAAAAGATCTTTATTTAGGGTTACTGTTTCTTGTGTAAAGATGGGAGACAAAGGTATCAAGGTGTATCCTACCAAAAATTGGACAAGTCTTTGTCTTCTTATCTGAGAATCAAAATAATCCTTTTTAGTACCTGCTTGAACGATTTGCTTCCTTCTTTTTCTGATGGAAGCAAAAATGCAGAAGTTATTTTTTCATCCTACTCAACTATCTCTCTCTTCCATGAGAAATGGAGAAAGAAGTAGATAACTGATTTAATAGAAGAAAAATAAGTAGCCAGAATAAGTACAAATTGCTCCCCAAAAATCACGATCTGCACTTGGACTTCAGTTTAGAGAGCAGATGAGTGTCTTGCTACTTTGACAGCTCTCAGGAACTGTCAGGAGACTATTCTGAGTATGTGCAAACTAGCAGACTCGTGTGCAGGATGCAGCCACATCTGATTCCCAGATTAAGTGAAACTTGGGTTCACAGCAGCACCTCCTGCAGCTTCATCAGCTTGGTATCAGCAGGAAGAAGACCCATGTTCAATGATAAGGGAAAGCCCTAGCCCACCCTGGCTAGGTTTCCAACCTTAGCAGTATGAAGGTAAATAAATGCTTGGGACATACAGGACATGTTCATCCACTGTCTAGACTTAAAACAACCACTCACACCAATTAAGCAACTCCAGTTCTGGTCACTTTTGAGCTGTAAATTATTGGAGGTTCTCGAAGAAAGAACACCCGGACGGTTTCACTACATGCTTATCTACCTCCTACCATCTTCCATAGCCACTAGCTATTGCCACTGCTGGAGACAGCAGACTGTGCTATTTGAAGCTTTCTTCTGAGCCACTACCTCTGTTCTTATACTGTGTTCTTATTTTCACAGAGTTAGATAAAGGACTCTGTATGCAACCTTTCAAGGAGAATTTTGGGTTGTTTGTTTGGTTTTGGTTTTTTTTTTTACCTGTAAAAAGAGTGGAATTTCTGTGGGGATCTTTAATGATAGGGTAGCCTAATTTTACGTTTTTGTAGTTGAACATCGTTTTGCCCATTCTCTAACATTAGCAGTTTCACTGACTTCCGCTGAAGCTAAAGTTGCTCAGGACTGCTGAAATATGCCCAGATGTCACAAACTGAAACAAAGGGAATCCTACTCAGCCCATAGGCAGCAGCACACACAGGGCACACTGTTACTCAGTTTGTAAGCCAAGAACTTGATGAAAATCCAGGCCTTGTTGCATCTGTTTGCTTCCAAGTTTCAAAAGTTCAGTCTGTTCTATCCATACTTTCCAGTGCCCTGATAAACCATTTAATTTGAAGAGTAACTGCAACGTAACTTCTAAGCTACAATAACATTAATATTAAAATCTGTAAATGCTGCCGGAGTTAACCAAATTCTCTGGACAATTGTCAGAATGCAGAGTTACATATTTTGCTTTCCATTGCCAAAGAGAATTAATTTTTGAAAGTAAACGTGTGAGGAATATACTACCAAGCAAGTCTAACTATAAAAATAGTCTGCAGTACACAGTGAGACTTTGATTTCCATAGCATAAGCTGAAGTTGGTAATGTTTAGGATGTTGAAGTTTCTTACATTTGTGTATTTACTTGAGGTATAACAATAAATTGTTTTAATTTACTGGTCAAGTTTGCAATGCAGTTTGTAGATTAGTAGCCTTAAGTCTCTGGAAATAAGATATCAAGAAGTGAAATTGTGAGTTTAGTTGGGTGTTTCCAGTTCAAGCCAAACAGGCCAGAAGTTTTTCTTACTTGTGTGTTCCATTGGTGTTGATGTGGTTTCATGTACATAATCAAGAGCAAAATTTATCACATTGACTTAAAGATTAAAGCATGTAAATATCCAGAGTTAAACTCTGCTGTTCACATTGCATAAGAAAAGAGGAAGATCTGAGTTTACACTGAGTATTACACTCTCCAGTTTACCCTGACTGGATCTAACCACGCTGTTTCTAGTATACCAGCTAGAGAAAAGATGCAGCTCTTCTGAATACAGCAAAATCAGTAGCAACTGAGCTGTGGTCTTACCAGTCTTTCAGATTTTGGTTTACTTATCTGACAAAACAAAATCCTCCTCACAGTTTTCCCTGATCCAGCTATCATTTACATATTCATGAAATTAACCCATTCTGTCTGTAAAATGTTGTGTCTACTTGGCTTTACAATTTTGGATGGGAATTTAATCTGTTAAATATCAGGGGTGATGTCTCATACATTTAATGGCTACAGAGTCACTGCATTAAATTTACTCATGGCACTGAATGTTTAAAACATGAGGAGGACAATGTTCATTTTTCTTGTAGGTAGTAGACCAGTATTATACCTGGAGT